GCTCTTATGTTCTTCTTCCTGGTCGTTACCCTAAGTCCAGTTGTTCAGGCTTACTTCAGGCCAGAGATCAATAGTGTTATTGTTAATATTGTTTGTCGTAAGATGTTAAAGAAGAAACCTAATACGTTGGCTACATCCAGTACATGTAATTCATCATCTGCTGCAGTGGAATTACGTGTTAGCTCACATGATGTATAAACAATGTATATTGCCTTCATCCATTGACTCTATTCTTAAGTATAAAGATTTTAATGTTACAGACACCATGTAGATGTATACATATGCAGTATTACTGTATTGCTTATTCATTAACATTCTCTTTGTTGTTTGTGTTATTATTATCTTATTCTTTATTGAGTTCTGTTGTTATTATTATTATTTCATAAAATACTAACAACATTATAAAATAATGTTTCCATAATAGCACTCTTGGTAATAATGATAACAGTTGACCATAACTATCTCCCAACTCTTCCACCTTTTGTGAATTGAGTGTACAAAGTTTATATATACATTGTACAGGCAAAGAGTAGAGCTATGCTCAACAGAATTAAGGGAAGTTTTCCTTAGCTAAATTACTTGTATGTACCTTAAGCCTACTATTATTAGCATCTACTAAATGTAGCTATATTAGCGAGAGAGCTTTGAAATGTTAAATGAAATAGATGCCAAAATAATAATTATTCATTATAATAGTTATTATTGATAGTTAATTTAGCTGGTGTGGTCAGAGTGAAATAAAAATGGCAGCTACATGTACATGTATAAAAGGAGTTTTTGCAGCAAATGATCAGCTACAGCAGCAAGGAGTGTTCAGATATAAATTTTTTTTAAAAGACAAACTAAGAACTTTAAAGCCTGTGAGTGATTTACTATAACTATGCTGCCTATGTTCAAAGTATCCTCATTTAATATAGCTTGCTTGTTTATTTTTGCTCATTGTTTAGTGTTTATTAAAAAGCTAAAAATAGTAACGCTAAACACAACTTTTGTTCATTTCGCTACAATTGGTAGACGCAAGTAATATTGAGTGATCTTTGTTTGTCAGTTTAGTCTTGTAAAGAAAATGTTAAGAAAATTTTAGTTCGAAAATATTACCGTCAGAGATTCCTATGAGTGAGTTGATGATGTCACTAGTGGATAGAACTGATGACTGAGATGAGATAGAGTTGTCTGAGTGATTGTGAGTTAGAAATGTTGTATCAAACGGCTGGCCACACATATAGCAGTGTATATTCTCTCCACATGGATGAGCAATATCCTGATGATCTTCTGTAAGGTTCAGGTACCTTTATGACCATGGTCAAGAGCTTCATCCCAAATCCTAAGCCATGAAATCTCAAATGATACCTCACTAATGAGAGTAGCAGTTCAAGTAGTGTTTCATGTTCTAGTAGTGTTTTTACTGTTTTAGTAGTGCTATGAAGTCTAGTGTCTCTAGACTTCATAGCAACATAGTCAGCTGTATCAGGTTCCTTCGCAGACCAATGAATTATAGTTTCATAATAACTGATTTAAATGAGAAGGACTTGTCAATGTCCATAGCAGCTGTTTTAAAATGCTTTTTGAAGTGTTATAAGCATGACTTACTACCTGATGTGTCACAGCGTGGACACTGGACAGCGATCTAAAACTGTTATACTGAGATTACTGCCCTAAAATTTATCCTACTTATCTAATCTTGGTTTATACAAGAAATGATCCAGCTGCACGCACTTGCACAATGCACACTGCATGCACGGTGAATCAATGGCAGTGCCAGGCGTATTAATCCCAATATTTATGAATAATAATTATTAAGTCTTAATCCCGTGACCGGCCCGCAAGAAGTTGAGTGATAAAACCATATGCAGTGATGGTATAAGTTATTTTTGTCAGATACTGTATGTACATGCATCACTGAAGCGATTTTAGTTAGTTAGTTCACTGTCTTGGAAAAGAAAGGATGGAAAGGAATTATACTTTTAATGGCAGTTTCAGTCCTGAGGCAGTAGCAGGAGTTCTTAGTATTGAAATGGTACTAGCTCTGATAGCTAATGGTGTTGTACTAGTCGTTACTATTTATCAAAGGAAGTCCTGGAAACAATCATCAACAATATTCTTTACTTCTCTCATACTGGCACACCTTGTATTGACACTCTCTCTTCCTTTCTCCATTGCTGCATTAGCTGCTCGTGAGTGGGTTGTTGGTGACACTGATGAGGAGAAGCAAGGAACCTGTGGCTTTACTGCTTTTATGATATTATTTAGTGTCTATGTAATGCTCATGACACTGAGTCTCATATCAATTGATCGGTTCCTTTTTATAGTAAAGCCTCATCTCCACAAGCGGTTCATGAGTCCAAGGGTAGCTCTGGTCCTTGTCATTATTGTGTGGATAGTCCCTGCTGCCTTTTTCTCTTCAGGATTCATCAATGGATCTGGTGCCGAATTCCGCTATATAGATTATCTGGGAGTCTGTTCTGCTTTTACCACCAGTCCTGTTATGGCCATCTTCCGCTTTTTCTTTGCTTCGTTAATGGTAATTATCATTATTATCACTTCAGTTTGGACGTTTTGCTTCACTCGTAAGTTTATTAATAATCAGTCAATGATAGTAGAAGAGAGTGTCTATGCTTCAAAGAAGAAGAGGTTGTTTGGGTCCATGCTACTGGTCTATGGGATATGCTTCACTCCTAGCATATTCTTTTCTACGTTAGTGGCTATTGTTGATTCTCCCGGTGCTCTTACACTGACTGCTCTGATGTTATTCTTCTTTGCCGTTATCCCGAGTCCAGTCATTCAAGCTTACTTCAGGCCAGAGATCAATAGTGTTATTGTTGATATTGTTTGTCGTAAGATGCTGAAGAAGAAACCTAATAAATTAGCTACATCAAGTACATGTGATTCATCATCTGCTGCAGTGGAATTGCGTGTTAGCTCACTTGATCCATAAACTATGTACATTCATTCATCCATTGACTTTATTCTTGAGTATAAGTTTTTAATGTTACAGACATTATGTATACATGCATGCAGTATTACTTTTGCTTATTCATTAACATTGTTTGTGTTCTTATTATATTGTTCTCAATTAAGTTGAGTGTATCATTATTTCTTAAAAATACTAACAGCATTATAAATTTATAATGTTTCAATAATAGCACTCTTGGCATTATAGTGATAACAGTTAAATATTTTTCCAGCCCGATGTGTCACTAGATCTAAAACTGTTATATATACTGAGATTACTGACCTAAAATTTATCTTACTTATCTAATCTTGGTTTATACAAGAAATAAATCAAATGATCCAGCTGCAAGCACTTGCACAGTACAGCGATCAACGGCAGTGCCCTCTGACTGTATTAATTCCAATATATTTTATGAATAATAATTATTAAGTCTAACCCCATGACTGGCCCGTGTTCACAAGAAGTTGAGTGATAAAACCATAATGCAGTGATGGTATAAGTTATTTTTGTCAGATACTGTATGTACATGCATCAAGTGATTTTAGTTAGTTAGTTCACTGTCTTGGAAAAGAAAGGATGGAAAGGAATTATACTTTTAATGGCAGTTTCAGTCCTGAGGCAGTAGCGGGAGTTCTTAGTATTGAAATGATACTAGCTCTCATAGCTAATGGTGTTGTACTAGTCATTACTATTTATCAAAGGAAGTCCTGGAAACAATCATCAACAATATTCTTTACTTCTCTCATACTGGCACACCTTGTATTGACACTCTCTCTTCCTTTCTCCATTGCTGCATTAGCTGCTCGTGAGTGGGTTGTTGGTGACACTGATGAGGAGAAGCAAGGAACCTGTGGCTTTACTGCTTTTATGATATTATTTAGTGTCTATGTGATGCTTATGACACTGAGTCTTGTCTCAATTGATCGGTTCCTTTTTATTGTAAAGCCTCATCTCCACAAACGATTCATGAGTCCAAGGGTAGCTCTGGTCCTTGTTATTATTGTCTGGATTTTTGATTTACTCTTCTTCTCTTCAGGATTCATCGATGGCTCTGGTGCCGAATTCCGCTATATAGATTATCTGGGAGTCTGCTTTGCTTTTACCACCAGTCCTGTTATGGCCACCTTCCGCTTTTCTTGCT